GTATTTTTGTAGATTAAAAGCTTTCTTTATTATTTTATTCTGGTGATCGTTTTTTACCTATTCCTTGTTATGTGTATACCCGGGATTTGTGTTTTTAATACTATTAAGGAGATATATCCCCTTTATGGATTACTGCCTTGTCGTGGCGAAGGGGCTTGCGTAACTCAATGAAGCTATAAGCTATGCCATGCAGGGCCACCCAAGACGGACAGGTTATAGCAGAGAGTTCTGACAAAATGTGATCCACTGGAGAAGGAAATGGCAAACCACTCCAGTATCTTTGCCATGAAAACCCCATGGACAGTACTAAAAGGAAAAAAGATATGACGCTGGAAGATGAGCCCCTCAGGTCGGAAGGTGTCCAATATGCTATTGGGGAAGAGCAGAGGGCTAGTACTAGTAGCGCCAGAAAGAATGAAGCAACTGGGCCAAAGCCGAAAGGACGCTCAGCTGTGGATATATCTGGTGGTGAAAGGAAAGTCCAATGCTGTAAAGATTTTTTCTCCATAGGAACCTGGAATGTAAGATCCATGAATCAAGGCAAGCTAGACGTAGTCAAAAAAGAGATGACAAGACTGAACATCGACATCTTAGGAATCAGCGAACTAAAATGGACAGGAATGGGTGAATTTAACTCAGATGACCATCAGGTATACTACTGTGGGCAAGAATCCCTCAGAAGAAATGGAGTAGCCTTCATAGTCAATAAAAGAACAGGAAAAGCAATACTGGGATACAATCCTCAAAATGACAGAATGATCTCTATTCGAATCCAAGGCAAACCATTCAATATCACAGTAGTCCAAATCTATGCCCCAACCACTGGTGCTGAAGAGGATGAAATTGACCGGTTCTATGAAGCCCTACAGCACCTTATAGAATTAACACCAAAAAATGATGTCCTTATCATCATGGGGGATTGGAATGCTAAGGTAGGAAGCCAAAAGATAACCGGAATAACAGGCAAGTTTGGCCTTGGAGTACAAAATGAAGCAGGGCACAGGCTAATAGAATTTTGTCAAGAGAATAAGATGGTCATAACAAACACTCTTTTCCAACAACCCAAGAGACGGCTCTACACATGGACATCACCAGACGGTCAACATAGAAATCAGATTGACTATGTGCTCTGCAGCCAAAGATGGAGAAGCTCTATACAGTCAGTAAAAACAAGACCAGGAGCTGACTGTGGCTCAGATCATGAGCTTCTCGTTGCAAAATTTAGGCTTAAATTGAAAAAAGTAGGGAAAATCACTAGGCCACTCAGGTATGAACTAAATCATATTCCTGATGAATATACAGTAGAGGTGACAAATAGATTTAAGGAACTGGATCTGATAGACAGAGTGCCTGAAGAACTATGGATGGAAGTTCGCAACATTGTACAAGAGGTAGCAACTAAAACCATCCCAAAGAAAAAGAAATGCAAGAAAGCAAAATGGCTGTCTGAGGAAGCTTTGCAAATAGCTGAGGAAAGAAGGGAAGCGAAAGGCAAAGGAGAAAGAGAAAGATACACCCAATTGAATGCAGAATTCCAGAGAGTAGCTAGAAGAGATAAGAATGCCTTCTTAAATGAACAGTGCAAAGAAATAGAAGAAAACAACAGAATAGGGAGGACCAGAGATCTCTTCACGAAAATTGGAGATATGAAGGGAACGTTTCATGCAAAGATGGGCATGATAAAGGACCAAAATGGCAGAGACCTAACAGAGGCAGAAGAGATTAAGAAGAGATGGCAAAACTACACAGAAGAACTATACAAGAATGAGCTTAACATCCCAGATAACCACAATGAGATGGTCACTGACCTCGAACCAGACATCCTAGAATGTGAAGTGAAATGGGCCTTAGAAAATCTGAGCAACAACAAAGCTAGTGGAGGTGACAGTATTCCAGCTGAGCTATTCAAAATCTTAAAAGACGATGCAGTAAAAGTGCTACACTCAATTTGCCAGCAAATTTGGAAAACTCAACAGTGGCCACAGGACTGGAAAAGGTCAGTTTACATTCCAATTCCAAAGAAAGGCAATGCCAAAGAATGTTCAAACTATCGCACCATTGCACTCATTTCACATGCTAGTAAAGTTATGCTTAAAATCCTACAAGCTAGACTCCAGCAGTATGTGGATCGAGAACTACCAGAAGTACAGGCAGGATTTCGAAGAGGCAGAGGAACTAGAGATCAAATTGCCAACATACGCTGGATCATGGAGAAAGCTAGGGAGTTCCAGAAAAACATCTACTTCTGCTTCATTGACTATGCAAAAGCCTTTGATTGTGTGGATCACAACAAATTGTGGCAAGTTCTTAAAGAGATGGGAGTACCAGACCATCTCATTTGTCTCTTGAGAAACCTATATGTGGGTCAAGAAGCAACAGTGAGAACCGAACACGGAACCACTGATTGGTTCAAAATTGGAAAAGGAGTCCGGCAAGGCTGTATACTGTCGCCCTGCCTATTTAACTTATATGCAGAGCACATCATGAGAAAGGCAGGGCTAGATGAATCAAAAGTTGGAATTAAGATTGCCGGGAGAAATATCAACAACCTAAGATATGCAGATGATACCACTCTAATGGCAGAAAGTGAAGAGGAACTAAAGAGCCTCTTGATGCGGGTGAAGAAGGAGAGTGCAAAAGTTGGCTTGAAACTCAACATTAAGAAAACCAAAATCATGGCATCCGGCCCTCTCAATTCCTGGCAAATAGATGGGGAAGAAATGGAGGTAGTGACAGATTTTATTTTTCTGGGCTCCAAGATCACCTCAGATGGGGACTGCAGCCAAGAAATTAAAAGACGCTTGCTCCTGGGGAGGAAAGCTATGGCAAATCTAGGCAGCATTCTAAAAAGCAGAGACATCACCCTGCCAACAAAAGTGCGTATAGTCCAGGCCATGGTTTTCCCAGTTGCAATGTATGGCTGTGAAAGTTGGACCATAAGAAAGGCTGAGCGCAAAAGAATTGAGGCCTTTGAACTATGGTGCTGGAGAAGACTCCTGCGAGTCCCTTGGACTGCAAGGCGTTCAAACCGGTCAGTCCTAGAAGAGATCAACCCCGACTGCTCTTTAGAAGGCCAGATCCTGAAGTTGAAACTCAAGTACTTTGGCCACCTAATGAGAAGGAAGGATTCACTGGAGAAGAGCCTAATGCTGGGAAAGATTGAGGGCAATAGAAGAAGGGGACGACAGAGAATGAGATGGCTGGATGGAGTCACTGAAGCAGTAGGTGTGAATTTAAATGGACTCCAGAAGATGGTAGAGGACAGGAAGACCTGGAGGAACGTTGTCCATGGGGTCGCGATGAGTCGGACACGACTTCGCAATTAACAACAACAACAACAACAAGGAGATATATATAGATACACACACACACACACACACACACACATTTTATAAATATACACACATATACACAATCTAGAGTTATTTGAAGTGATGCAGATTTTAAAGTATATAACTAAACAAGCTGAATGCTCTTCCTTTCACCCAAATTGTATAACTGATATTCATGAACATCACAGATTGCCAAATAAGCTTTTCAACATGATATAAGGGAATTCTTGTGTCTCTGTTTGGGCTCTCTTAAAAATAAAATCATGCTTATCTTTGAGATGTTTCTGTAGAAATGAAGGCCGCACCAGAAAAAAAAATATTTTACAGCATTTATAAACTGAACCAATCTGACCAAATCTACTGTGTTTTCTGCTGCATCTGTAAAAGCACAGCATTAAAACATTTAGTGAAAGAGACTACAGTTGTATTTCCAACTTTCACTTCCACCTCTATTAATTTATTATTCTGTTTTGTCAGTATACAACTAAAATTAACCAATTAAGGAAAATGACCTCATTGTCAAGGAGATTTAAACTAGAAAGTTTTTTTCCCCCTCTGTGGTATTTTTTGCCAAATACGAAGGAAGTATTGGAATTGCCTGTGCAGCACTCCCATCTGCAACGCAAGGAGACAGCTGAGTTCCTAGAGGGTTGCTGTCAAGTGAGCTGAAATGAACAGAGGGAAACAAAATGCTCTCTTGAATATGGAAAAGTATTGTGAAATGTGAACAAACATGCAGAGAATGCCCTAAAGAGTTATTAGCTGGTAGTTCCCAAACAGGCAGAGAATGTGTTTGACAGCTCAGTGACCCCAATTCCCAGATAATCTGTAGGGAAAAATGGATCCTCAATGCTGTCATGTATCAGTAATACGTGCATCAATTTATTTGTTGCTTCTTGCAAGATAGGGTGTTATTTGCCAGAAATGGAAGTTAGTTGCATTTTCCACTAGCATCAGGTTTGAGTTTTAAATCCACTTTTTGAAAACCATTCATATATGAGTTATACGGAACAAATGCAGATGTAGTTAATCAGGTAATACAAAGCGGTCAATTTTAGATGTAAATATGCAGAAATGAAGGATTTAAAACACTGCTGTTTTGTCCATGCAACAGAGTTAAATCTCCATAGTTTCCAAACTCAGAAAAAAAATCGAACTAATGATCAATTATCCTGGGAGCTTTACTGAGCTTCAATGTTAATGTCAGCCAGTTTATGGGAGACAGCTTAATTATGGGCAACTAGTAAGAAAAACTCTGTAATGGACTTATTCTACTAAAAAAAAGGGTGAGGGAATTGATAGAGTAGTATGGATTTCATCGTGATATAATATCTGCACCGAGAGATTAAAAATAGAATTATAAATGATTTCCCAGAGGAAACCTTTGGGGCTTAAGAGAATTGTTTCTCTTTGGTTTACACACAAATTAAGCTTTCTCATTTTGGGTTTGGCATTGAGAATTTACTGGTGCTATCCTATGTTTCTGTAGTAGCATTGGACTCTTTCTATGAGTTGGCACCACAGTACATTTTACCACAGTACATACAAATTAAAAAGACTATATGATTTTACAAGGTGATGGGTGATATAGTTTAGCTTCTATGCAGCACTAATTCTCAAAGAACTTAGTGTTCTCTAGTTCATTCATGTATTCTGTTCTCTTTTTAGATGAAACAACATTTGAAGCAGGAGTCAAAGTCCAGATCCACAGTCAGTCGGAGCCGCCATTTGTTCAAGAACTTGGCTTTGGTGTGGCACCTGGTTTCCAAACTTTTGTAGCCATGCAAGAACAAAGGGTAAGTTATTTTCCTCAGACAGGTTAGGTACCTGCCTGTTTTACTTCTAAGGCAGAAAGAGAAGAAAAGCTTCCTTGGTTGAATGCTTTGATGACAACCTTAACAAAAGCAGACTGATCTTGAGATTGGGTCTTATCTGTTGACTTTTGGGTTAAGAATTATGATGAAGACAAAAAAAAATCATAGCTACAGAAGTTGAGTTGGATTTATAATAATTTAATTTATACTTGCAAGAATCCTGAGAATTGCCTTTTAAAAAGAATTCCCAGAATTCTATGGCCTAGTTCATTCTGAATCATTCATAGAAAGAACTGTGTGGGGGATTTCCAAGAAAGAAGTTTCCGCATGTGAGGTTTAAACTACATGTCAGTCTTCCTTGTGCAGTTTATATGAATGTGAAATTACTATTGAAAAAATATCACAAAAGAAACAATATTCTGAATTATGTCTAATATATAATCTGGCATTGTTGCATAACTTATAGCTTTTCCAAATGTAAGCACGCACGTAGTCTTACTTGAGATCAAGGAGAAGCCAAAGTTTTGCCAGCTCATTGATTGATTTGATTCTTTCAGCAGAGCTTGTCCTTATTTTTTATTTACTTATAAATAAATGCACAGCAATAGCATTTACATGCCTTTGTCCAAGTAGTCATAGTTCTAAATTATATATAAAAAAGTAACTGTTCTCACATAAATTTGGTTAGGTCCAGCAATTGTTGGAACAAGGGAGTGGCAGATGTCTATAATGCCTTCTCAAAAGTTTTTTTTGGGGGGGAGGGAGGGATTGGTTCATGTTTAGTCCACACTATAGTATTATGAAAGTAATTACTGAAGCTGCAGAACCTTTCTTTCCTTTGCAGTAATTATGCTGCCAAAGGCAATATGTTGAGAAAGATGAAATATTCCCTGAAACAACCATTTCTGCCAATTTGGCCATAAAAATTAAAGAAGCTTCAATTAAGCAAAAAGGTTGAAGATGTAGTGATACTGAGTAGGAAGGCTGAAGTGGGCCTTTGAGATTCATTTTGTGAAATGTTCAGGCAATATGGAAAGAGAGAAAGACCATCAAAATATGAGAAAAATATCTGAGGTTGATTTTATAAAAAGAGGATGGGGATTCCCATTATACATTCTGTGACTTGGGAACCATATGTGGTATATGGGTTATAATAACGGAAAATAGACTTTGTGAATTGAGAGGCAACAGTTGACACAGGGCACAGAGAGTATTAGGCAGAAGTCAGCTGGCAAGAGAGACAGAGGCAATAATAGAAGGATTGCTGTGGAATGGATGTGAGAAGGCTCTCAGATGTCTGTCCCAAATCTTTACTCTCCAGAGGGTAAACTTTACTCATTGAGGGCCGCATCAGCATTGTGATTGCCCTCAGGGGGGTGGTGTGTGTGGCCAGGGTGGGTGTGGCCTACTGGGTGGGCATGGCCAGCTCTACATCACTTGCGTCAAGGGTGCATGTGGGGGCTTGGGCAGGAGTGGGACAGATCTGAGAGTCTCTGGCAGAAGGGGGGGGACCAGGGCAAGTGCCAAGGCATGGTCCATTTCTTCATTCCCCACAAAGGATGACACCTCCCCAGTATGCACCCAGGGAGTGGAGCTGACACAGCAGGGGCTGGTTCCTCACTGTTTCTAGACGCCCTTGTGGAGCTAAGACTGAATGCGTTTCAGCATAGATAGCCACCACAAAATTCTACATTGGCTCCCGGCCCGCCTGAGCCAGGGCCAAGGCAGTGAGGGCTGTTCCCTGACTCTTTCCAGGATGGTTTTGTGGGTCACATGAAACCACTTTGCAGGCCGCATCCGGCCCCCAGGCCTTGTGTTTGACATGTCTTCTCTAGAGAGTAAAGCAGTAGAGACTTTTCATCTAAAGGAGGAGGAAGCAGCCTGGTGTCCTTCTAACCTTTTGGTCATCAATTCCCAGCACTCCCAAGTCAGCCTGGCCAACAGGAGAAGATTGTGAGAATGGCAAGCCTAGATATGTGAAGGGAAGCTAGTTATCTTCTCTGGTCTATGCCAAAAGATATTCCCAGTCTGTTGCTGCTTTCTATAAGCATTGCACTACAGTTCACATTATCCCAGCAGAAATAACAGGTTGCTGTGGAATATATGACTGAAGTAATTTTTTGATCATTATGTGAGAAGTCAGCAATATAAGGTGGAGGGAATGAGACATAACTTTTGGGACCAGTATTGCCATCATTAAGCAATGCAATCAGAAAGTGACATTTTCCCAGCACTTTCTATCTTACCCAACACAGTTGATTCCTTCACAATCTTTACAGAAAAAAACTCTCATTATTTATTTATTGAAGTAATTCATGTACAGCCTTTTATAAATGATGTTCTCAGTCCTGTGGGACAGCTAAACATTACATAGAAATAAATATCTGGTAAAATTCAGATCTCTTGGTTAGGCACTGAATCCATCCTTTTTATTGTTTTTTTGGGCAGTTATTTCCAATCTATTATTTTCCAAGTAATTATCTGCAAGTTCCTCCCCATAATGTTGAATGGGTATATGACCCTTGACTTTTGCTGAATAATGAACTAAAAACAAGATATAATTGTTCTTTAATGAGACATCATATCAGATTACACAAGTAGAATTGCTTCTCCATTTCAGCCTGCCCACGATTCCCTTTTGTCTATCTGCTCTCATTGTCTGTTGAGCTTAGCACTTGCATCTAAGTTCTCTCCCTCATTTTCTTTCTTTCTTTTTTTTTTTTTTGCAAAAAACATCAAATAGCAACTGATACATTTTGTAACTTATTCCCTTCATTTTTTCTTTAAGATTATTTAATGTTGCTTGTTAACCAAATTGATTTTGTTGGACAGATGGAAATGACCAGTTTATGCTGATGGTAGAATCAAAGTTCTTCCATTTGGAAACTATGCATTTGAAACTTTCTCTTGTCTCAGAGTATCTCTGCATAGATACATAATGTATAAAGATAATGTCCAGATTAATTCTTAATATGATTTTTTCCACATGGCAAAGAAAATTTTACTTTTTAATTATTCAGTTGGATAGCTTGGGAATTCTGAGAGTTGAAATCCACACCTTAAATTTGCCAAGTTTGAAAAACACTGATACAAATTAATCCTGATAAATATGGGATTACAAAGATGCCTATCTATTTTCTTTGACCAGAGTCTAGCAGATTTTTGGATTACAAATCCCATTATCAAATTGGAATCCCCAAAATTATTTCTTTCTCTTTCCAATTAAGGGATAGAAACTTTAAGTTTCTTTTACTTGATTGCTGCAAAATTATTGAAGTAAAAATGTATTGTGGGTAACCACTGTAATCCTTTTGATTTGGGGAGGTAGAGATGGAAGTAGTTTAAAAGGGGGGAGAGACCACAATGATATTACCCAATGTCATCTGTGCTCATCATATCAAAACAGTTTGGAGTTCTAAGATACCAAGCAAATTGGTATATCTTGCTGTTGATATATCAGCAAATAAGCCTCACTTGGCACCAGTGACAATGTATAACTTCTTAAAGAAAAAGAAGATTGAAGAAACAGAACTGTCTGGCCCTGACCCCTTTTACTTGGGCCATGGCCATCAAGGAAATTAAGCTCTAATCTTTCCCAACTGTGCTTGTTTAAGAGCGGGTAATGAGATACACTTCAAACATAACCTGATTGTATCAAAGATATTCAGTCCATTGATCAGTGTACAATAGTGAAAACAAAAGCATAATTTGTGGACTGAGCACGGCTAACCAGCAGCAAGGAAACAAAAATAATCTGCCTTGGAGACTACAGGAGTTGAATTATGAACTTTCAATAAATCTATACAGTTCTGAAGAAAGAAAAACATAGAGTTGCTCTCTATATAAGAAATAACTACATCTCCACAGAAATAGAGTACAACAATGATAAAAATTATCTTGAATGCATCTGGGTCAATATAAAAGGGGGGGGGAAATGACATTGCCATAGGTGTATACTACAGACCACCCAACCAAACAGAGGAAATAGATGAACTTTTTGCTAGTCAGCTAACTAAGGTATGTAGGAAGCACATCACAATAGTAATGGGGGACTTTAACTACCCTGACATCAACTGGGAGACAAACTCCGCACCAAGTGGAAGATCAAACAGGTTCCTGGCAAATCTAGCAGACAACTTTGTCTCCCAAAAAGTAGAGAAGGGAACTAGGGGATTAGCCATTTTGGATCTAATTCTCACTAACAGAGATGAAATGATAGACGGTGTTGAAGCCATAGGAATACTGGGAGGAAGTGATCATGCAATATTAGAATTCAACATTATAGAAGCACAAGCAATAGAACACAGTCAAACTAGAGTCTTAAGACTTCAAGAGAGCTAATTTCAATAAACTTAGAGAGGGCGTGGGAGGGATTCCATGGATGAGAATCCTCAAGGGGAAAACAACTCAAGAAGCTTGGGAAATTTTGAAAAATGAGATAATAAAAGCACAGTCTAGCACAATACCAACAAAGAGGAAAAACAACAGCTCTCAAAAGAAACCAGCATGGCTGCATAAAGAACTCTCTGACAAATTGAAAGATAAAAAGGACAAGTATAGAAAGTGGAAAGAGGGGAACATAACTAAGTCAGAATATCAGCAAATAGCCCAGCCTGCAAAGATGAAGTGAAGAAAGCCAAGGCTCAAAATGAACTAAGGCTTGCGACCAAAGTCAAAAATAACAAAAAAAGCTTCTTTCAACATGTAAAAAACAAGAAAAAAGTGAAGGAAATGATTGGTCCATTAGTGGGTGGAAGTGGCAAGAAGGTGACAAGCAACAGGGAGAAAGCAGAACTATTTAACTCATTTTTTGCATCTGTCTTTACACAAAGGGAAAAAACAGACCAACCTATCAAAAATAGTGCCATAAAAAACAAAACAGAAACACAAGTTAAGATAGGCAAGAAAATGGTTAGTGAGCACCTGTCCAGCCTAGATGAGTTCAAATCGCCAGGACCAGATGGATTACACCCCAGAGTTCT